AGCCCGGTTCTCAATATTGTGAATTAGTAGAGCAAACTTGAAATCAGCTGTTAGAACTCCCAAAAGAATTTGCATTTTTTCTAAATCAAGAGAAAAAGGATCTTCAAGGCTATTTTTTCCATCTCTAATATTCTCATAAAAGCTTGTTCAGAAGTGGAAAGAAATTCCCGGACGTGTTCATTACGCTTATTCAAGCTGAGTAGGCTAGATGCTCTTATCTCACTGATATCTAGGACATTATGCTTTTTCCAATCTATACATGTTCAAACTAGAGCACTTCTTTTGTACATGCCGACGGAGGTTTATGGCTTAAAGCGATAAAATCCTAGCTTCTGATCAATGTGAGACGGAATCTATAATGGGACAGAGGAATGGATATAGAATATGATAAATCTGAGTTCATGACTTAGTCGCAAAGATCATTTGAGGTGACCACACATCTAATGCGCGAAATAGTAAACAGGTGATGGAAGTGACATGCTCGTGATGAACTCACCGTCCTTGCCAAGAATTCTATATGGACCATTTCCTCAGAGTTTGTATGTACAGCGGAGTTACATCTGAATCTGAGTTGGAAAATCTGATACTCATGTTTAGACTAGAATTCCTTACACAAAAACAGTGCAGTAGTAGTATGAACCTACCCTGGGAGCAGATGAACCTACCCTTTTACATGGAGTCGCAAACAGATGAATGAGCAGCTCATACCTTTTCATCTTGAGTGTTGCTTGATGTGACGCCAGGATGTTGTGGCCTAGGTTATAATAATCCAAATCTAGTAACTAGTCCAGCATCGTGCGGTTCCCAACAACCACTATTCTCTTATTTCTTGAGTGGCCCATGTCGTTAAATAGACTAAAATTGAAGTCATCAACACCAAGCGATGTTTGCAGCCACTACAAACCTATAAAGTTATGTTCATATCTCTATGCCCACACTTTTGCCTCTGGTCAGGGATTTTGTGCTCATTTTCATTTTTTAAGAATGGAATTCGAGTGACATTCATCGATTAGTAATTCCCTTGAATTATTTTCCTCCTCTTTAGCTCATATTGGATTCTCTTCAGTACGTTCAAGTACATATTATCAACCTTATTAGCAAAAGGAAACTGGCAAGATAGGATGTTGAATAGCTCTTACTTCCCGTCCATAACCTTTTTGCAAGTTTACTCATCTCTGTTAACGGACAAAGAAGTGAGCAAAACTTGTATGTCCATAAGGACGCCCCTGTTCCAAAGAAGATTAGACTGGAAAGTTTGAAATGAGTAAGAAAGTTTCAAAAAGAAACGTAATTTCACCACAAGAAAGGACACATAAAAAGTGACTCGGAACGAATCGAAAATGTTGCGAAATTAGCTTGTCCATTCCAGGTGTCCACCGTGTGGCCATTCCCATCAACGGATGCACCTCGGGCGGGCTTTTGTATCTACAGCACCTAACGCAGACTAGAGGAAGGTACGAAGACACCAAAGAATTGTGAAAGGTTTTTATCGATGTGCATGAAAATAACATGTAGGTTCATCACAAAGCACCGGAAAAATGATGCTGCGTTGTAAAACCATGTACTGTACGTGACGTCATCGCGGTGCACATACACTTGACCATGTCAGGGTATTTTCGTGCCATCAAGTCTCCTGGACCTGGACCAATTGAGACCACCAGTTTGAGACTTGATAACTAACTTCAGGAACTAGTGACAGACTTCAGTAACTCATTGCACTAGAAATGGTGATGATAGAGCTATAAATTAAAAGGAGAAGGCAGTGAAATAGAATAGAAGGATTGGAATATTCAAAAGGGTTAGTATTCGTTTACGCACCAATGACATATATGTCCTACTAAAGCTAAATTCTTACTATTTAAATTGAATCATTTTCACATACCATAGTATCCCGAGAAGCAACACCTTGACCTTACTGTTTTGCTATTGCTCTTTGCCTAAATACCTAAGGACAATAATAATTGTTTATGCCTAGTATGATATACTCTTGTGCACTCCCTCTAAATGTACCTTTTTTGTGATATTTCTATCTTGAACCTTGTTGCTTGCTAAATACATGAATGATTTTTCATGTGAGATTATATGCTTCACAAACCATCCCAGTCATATCTTATGCCATTGTCATCATAATCACTATTAAAAAAAATTTACATAAGAATGTACTTCATGTCTTATAGAATTTATCAATATCATGATCAATATATATGGCAGATTTATATTATGTATCATTTTTTGTAATTTAAATCATAAGTTTTAATCCGACATGCATCATGTTTTAACATAATGATAAGCATTCAAATAATTAAAATAAGCTGTTCTGAGTTTTGTGATCAACATTTAAACGATATATGATATGAAAATAGAATATAATTGATTAAATTAAATAACATGTTGTTAAATAGTGTTTCACAAAAGGCAATATTCAACTGATGTAGGATTTCAAATCCAAAAGGAATTTTGATAAAATATCTCATCATCCTATCCAGATATTGACATGATAAAAATTGTTAATTCAATTTGATTTCATATACGTATCTATTTTTTGAATCATATATAATCAAAGATTGAAACTTTACTGTTTACAAAATCTTGAATTCTTTATAGATTTATATGCATCAAAATTAATCCTATTTATTGTAATTTGTAATTAATTACACTATTTTCATATTTGAATAAAAATTTGATAATTTTTCAAACAAGTTTATAATTTATAAATATTATTTTATATCAAGTTAAAAAATTTTACATATATAATTATTTTAGTAAAAAATAAAGAATAATTAAATTATTTTATTTTATTTTTTCCAAATATCTTAACATAGAATATTATCTAAAATTATCTAATTATCTAAATTTGGAATTTTAATTTGAATTTTTATGTTAAAAATATATATAATCTATTTCTATCAATTGTGTATGTCATGCAATTTTTATCTAAAAATATTCAATCTTCTACATGATCCAAAAATATATGCTTGAAATTTTTTATATGCACAATAATAATTTTTACAGATTGTAATTACGTTATAATAAGATTATAACACAAACTTTACAATTATACATTGATTTTATCGAAACACAAGTAGACAGCAGACAGCCAAATATGTGGTTTATAGAAAATGTCCAAGTAAACAACGTAGATTTTTAGTTACCAATAGTTTTAATTCTGTCAATGAAAGGTTTGGGGTTCTTTTCAATGTAGTAACAGATTAATTAAGTAAGCTAATCAAGGTTTAGGCAACCAGAATTAAATCAATGTCTGAGTCAATTTCAAACATAGGGCAATTAAAAATTAATTTATATTTTCACTTTGTAATGGTTTGGTATAAGTTAATTGCATTTTCTACAATTCAAAATATCGTCAGACCTTAATATTAGATTATCTACATGGAGGATCGGAGTTTGAGGTCTTCTATAGAAGTTTTTCATAGCAAATCTGTTAAAATTATATATGGATTTACTTCAAGTTTCTCAAGGATGTAGATCAGGGAATACACCCGCCAAACATTAATGATAAAAAGAGGAAATCACTGTCCAATTCTTTAAATCTTTACAGTATTTGAAGTATCTATATAAAATGTTGTTAAAGATTAGGATATGAAACAATAATAAATGTAGTCAATTTTAGTTAATCAATATTTTTTAGTAAACATATTATGTTTATTATATTCTGTTTAATTATGTTCAATTCAACGTTTACGCTGCCAGTTTTCATAACTGCTCCCGACATTGTTGCTCCCATGTGTGTCAATGAAGGAGGATAGAGCATACTTAAGAATTTTAATGTTGTTTATAATTACGTTATTTATATAATTGATGAATGTATATCGAGAAGGATCAAATAGGTTCCTTTTATACGACAATCATATACATTTATGTTATCTTAAATGTATATGATCATATACATTTAAGATAACAAATCCGGTAGATAAACTTCAATTTGTTTTAAAAAGATATTATAAAAACAAAGACTATCTCAATCGATTCTTAATACTATCTTGATGAGCATCGTAAGATATAGTCACAATAGTGAATAAATTATTCATTGTCGAATTCCTAGAGTATTTAAAATAGTTACTCTACATTATATTGTACTATATTCATTGTAGATGTATTAAAAGATAAATTTAAGTAATGTTTCTCTGAGAGCATATATCTTCGAGCTATAACCAATGGCTCGAATATTATGTTGTTTGGAGTGGAGTGCACAGGAATGTAAAATGAGAGAAATTTAGAAGATGGAGGTTAGGATACCAGGGGAATCTATATGTTGATAGTTGACTAACTTATAGTGGTGCAATTGGAGCTCTTTATAGACGGAGAAATTTAGACTGAACAGGAAGGAATCTATGCCAATCTGCTGGCTGTCTGATGTAGGATCACGTGGCCTGTTGAAATATGGAAAGAGTACCATGTTACCAATTTCCCCCGCTTCTTCCCCCGGCTGTGAGGTGACGTGGAAATGAACGTGACCGTGACTTGGCGAATCATGGGCGTGAAAATGCGATGTCATTCGTAGCGATGCAAATGTCCGCAATTCGATGCGTTGCGTGGCACGTCATTATATTAGGGAAACATGTGAAGTCCGGATCCCTTCTTTCTCGTAAATGCCATAACACGGATACGGTGATCACGACACGCGGAGACTGACGGAAGCTCAGTCCAGAAACATATCGAGGCGGCTAACGTCAGATCTCCAAATCGAACGACGTGCATACTCGGAGGGCTCGGAGTCCGTCAGAAAACCTGACGTTCGGACGGCCGCTTTAATTAGAGCACCCTAGTGAGGTTTAAAGTATGATGATCACGTAATTAATGGGAAGGCTGTCGCGCAAGGGAAATGGCATGTTACCGTTGGATGTAATCCTGGTGTTTTGTGAGCTTGCGTTGCTTGTCCTGTGCTCCTTTGTGGCGGTCCCGTCGGGCGAAGAGAGGGAGAGGGACTTCTGACCCCATTCATTCATCCGGAACTGGCCCCAACCTACTGCTTGCTGTCCCCTGTTCCCCGGGGAGAACTCGCTCTTCCCGTGACTGCTGCGCTGGTGCCGTCAGTCCGAAGAGTAAGCTCCTCCCGAGGCGACCATCGTTGGTTCGTTTGTGTCCCCGCAAGCAGGTGCCATTATATCGAAGATCGAGAGCAACAAACAACCAGAACAGGAAGAATCCGAGCGCTTGTGGTCTGAAACCCAAACGCACCCTCTTTCGTCCGACGTCGGCATCCTTCAGCGCCGTGGCGTCTTGCGGTCGGTTATCGAGGGAATTTCCCGGAGCACCGCGGAGTGGAGAGGCTGTCGAGGCGATTCATGGACGAGGATGTGGAGTTGGAACTGGAAGGAAAGATTATCATGGACTGGTGACGGAAGCCGAGGCGGGAAGCTTGGTGAGTAGCGACGTTAGAACGAGATCACATCGCATTTTCTCTTGCGGAGGAATGAGGTCTGGAAAATAGAACACTGGAAGAAGGCAAGCAGGCAGGTAGGCATTACTGAACTGGCAATGGGCAAGGGCGTCACGATGCCTCCCGAGGCATCGTCAGGGAGGGTGGATGGGGGTAGGGTAGCGGAGAGAAATCCTGGTTCGCGGCAAATTGGAAAGATGCGGAGCGACGGGACTGTGAGGAAGTCAAAAGGTTACGAACCGCTCAGCATGGGATTACCTCTGGTCGTGGCTCTGAATTGCATGGACGATTGTCGTGCCGAAGCCGAGGCTTTGGAAGGAGTGGCTGTAGTTGAGCATGTGGGTCTCGCCCAGGTTGGAGAAGGAAAGATCGAAGCGGCCGTTGCCGTGCTGGTTCAGTCTTTGGCATACTTACCGCGCGCAGCTCAGCGGCGGTTGCAGCCTTGGCAACTTATTCTTAGCCTTGGTTGTGCTGATAAGGCGGTCGATTCAGGGCTCGCGAGCGATTTGGGATTGCAGCTTCTACATGTGGACAGTGGGCGGAGCGAAGAGGTGGCTGATACTGCCATGGCGCTCATTCTGGGGCTCTTGAGGCGTACCCCTGCACTAGCAGCTCAAGCTGGAGCAAGCGCAGGCTGGCTTGGTGCACTTCCTGCTGCTTGCCGTGGCATGCGGCGTTGCCGTGGTCAAGTCCTTGGCATTATTGGCACATCGGCCTCTGCTTGTGCACTCGCCACCCGCTGCTTGTCCTTTAAAATGAGGGTTATCTACCTCGACACAGAGGAGGTATTGTCTACTGTCTGCTGTCTCAATTGCTGAAGTCAGTAATATTGGATGCATGCTTTATGTAATGATTGCCTTTTTTGGTCAAACGGACGAGCAAATGAACAGTTGCTGTATACTTCCCTCTTTTCACTCAAGCTCCGTCTAGGGAACTTGTCGAGTCGAGCGGACCGGACGCATGTCCAATTCTTTGTGTTCGTTCTTCTGTCCTTGAACACACTACCGAGGCTAACGAGCGTCAAGAACGTTGTTAGCTGAGAGGGATGTTATTTCGGGCATTTTTGCGTGCAGTACAGACTCCGCGCTCCACATGTCGTTAACTTAAGCGGACTGTCAGTACATGTATCGTATATTTGTGGTGTTGTGTTTACAGCGTAGCGTTGGTTGACAATCGACGTACTTGTTACGGTACTATCCTTACAGGCCGAGTGATAATTTGTGAGAAGCCGGTTGTTAAGAAAATACTCCCAAACAAGCCTTTGGTTGTGAATCTGGTACAAGCCTGAGTTTTGGGCTCCAGCTTGGTAATAATAGAGCGAAGAATTAACAAGCCTTTCATGGATCGCAGGAAAGGGATGGGGACCGGCGCCATCGTCGAGCCTTCCCACCTTTGGTGAAAAAGAGTGAGAACCTTAAGGAGCTTCTGTCTTTGAGTGATGTGGTCTCGCTCCATTGCCCCTTGACGAACGAAACTGTACAAATTATAAACGCTGAGACCATCAAGTACATCAAGCCGGGTACATTCTTCTTGTATATGAAGTTTTAACCAATTAGATCTGCAATACCATGCACGGTTGATTGTCTTCTCTTGAACTGAACTGCAGACCGCAAGGTGGTGGAAATTGTCCATGCGATTTCTGTATCTGTTCCTGGCTATGTGTCTAGTGAGTCTTTTTTTGGGGGGATTTGTGATGATTGACTCCATCTTTGTTTGTGGTGAAGAGCACTGTCCTGATTGTTGATGTTTGTTATGTCAGGAGCACTGCTTGTGAATACTAGCAGCAGCCATCTGCTTGATGACTGCGCGTTGAAGGAGGCGCTTATTGAGGGTACACTCGCTGGATGTGCACTCGACGGTGTGGAAGGGCCACAATGGCTTGAAGCTTGGGTATGCATTATCATGGCCGTGACGAACTTAGTGGTTTATCGTTGTTATACTTATAGACTATGCATTGTCCACGTCGGGTTGATATCGTTTGAAATTCTCGTACCTTATTCTTCACTTGATCTGCTGACGTATTCTGGAATTTAACGACGTAGTTGTTAGCCAATCACTTCGAATTCTGTGTGCTTGCGGAGTTGCCGCAATGGCGTATCTCTGCTTACGACCGAAGAGGCTCTACTTCAGCGGTCAAGTATCTTATGTTGCCGGTCGATAACCATATTGATAGTTCCTGGGAATTCACGACGTCTTGCAAGACTCGCTTATCAATACAGCTTCAGTATCGTGGATATCTTTGAGCAGTTTTATTTGAATGGAGTAAACAACTTATGTGCCTTTTTATTACTGTTTGTACCTTTTGCACGCACTTCCGCACACGGAAACACGAGTTGAGAGCCTGACATGTCTGCGGCCTGGACTGGTGTGTAATAATGATCTGAAAATTTTTTGTGCGTTCTAATCTGTTCTCCATTGGTTGGCAGGTAAGGGAGATGCCAAACGTGTTAATCTTACCAAAGAGTGCGGATTACAGTGAGGAAGTATGGGCTGAAATACGAGCAAAAGCTGTTTCTGTATTACGGTCTTTCCTTCTGGAGGGAGTGGTTCCTGCCAATGCTGCCTCTGATGATGAAGATAGCCAAAGAGATTCTCTATGGCAAGATGATAGACAAGAGAAGATTGACAAAGAGGGCATCACACGCATCAAAGATGGGGAGCAGCGATCAGGTGAGAGCCAAACTGCGCAGGATTTTCGACACAAACAGATGTATTTTCAATCACAGGACCAGCGTGTCCACTCTCAAGAGGTTGACTTGTCACATGGCTTAGTGCAGCGCGATTCAAGAAATAATCATGTCAAGGGTTCTGGAAAAAAGGGGAAGAAAAGAGCAGGGCGACGAAAAGCCCAGCAGCAGCCATCTGGTACTTCGATTGCATCTGAAAGAGATGCAACGTGGCTTACATTGCAGCGGGAAGACCGTGGTAATGGCACTTCATCTAAAGATGCTGTTGTTAACTCTAATTCAAGATTTGGTTCACCAGAGGAGTCTAAGATAAAGCGGGAGACAGATGGTACACTTGGTGTGGAAACTATTGTTGAATCTTCACAGGAGGTGCAGAAAGTAGCTGTCAAAGGGACAAATCAGGGTGCCGCCCTCGATTATCTCAAAGAGGGGCAGATTGTTGCTTTACGGGCACGTGCTGACGGTGGCTATTATGTTGCCAGGCAAAAGGGCCCTGGTCGCGGCTGGCGGTTGGACACAATGGTTGATGTGACCTGTCGGGATCCTGCTGCGCAGTTTTTAGTTGTTGTGCGCAACCGGGTAGACCTCTCTACTTACATCAAGAAGATGAACGTTTTTGTTTGTGGACAGAATTACATTTTCACGTAGGAAAAGGTAAATGACGTGTAGGAGTTGCTATCCATCATCCCTGGTGACACTAGGCGCCTGAAACTATTTTCCACGGGTCATTTCGTGCAGGATCGGATTGGTTTGCGATCTCTGGCAGCAGGTGGCAAGTTATTACAGGTGAGTTTATGGTTTCTGATTAAGACAGGAATAATGTTGGGATATTTCGGGGGGCGTTATTGCTTTTGGATCACTTCACTTCGCAACTGTCCCTTTGTACTCTGGTTCTTCGCTAACTGCAGATCTATTGAAGTCTTATACCTCGGCCGTTAAGAATCTAGAATAGAGGGAAGGGGAAGGTGAAGCTTTTGCAGTTTTCAAAGCATATACACGCAACTCACATGAATCTTGCTTCTTGGTATCTCAGGCGAACAAGAAGTTGGAGTTGGTGTTCGTGAATCATACGTTTGACGTGTGGGAGAGCTGGATTGTAGAGGGCTCCACTTTGGAGGACTGCACTTTGACCAACAGCAAGTTTCGCGGGGTAAGTTGGTCCCCTTTTGATAGTGTGCCTATTTTTAATCGTGAGTAAACATTTGTGGCTAACTAGTATGATTGCCACTCTGGCTTAATGAGAAAATTTGGCGGGTTGGTTGCTGTCTGTTGGCAACGTAAGTACTGATATGGATGTTCATGGTCATGCAATCTAGTCTGCTCATAGGCTTGCGGAACTATTGAACAGCATATTTTCACAAGATGATGGCGTCCTTAATGTCGCAGTGTCATGCAAAACTTTGGTGGGTCTTTTCTCTTCAAGAAGTAGACAGAAGTATTCGGTGTATTGACTGTTGCTCTTTCCTGCAACGTTGTCAAGTATGCAGCAGATTTGATGTGGAAGGTTCCTCTTATCTAGTATTTCAAATATTGATTTATCTTTTTTGGACTTCGCAGGTATCTTTAGATGTGTCGATTGAGATTTTGGCTGCCGTAGGTGAAGAAGATGGAGTAGTACGCTGGCTTAGCTAGTTTACGTTATGGATGATGATTGTTGGCTTCAACCAGGCCCAGAATCTAGTTACGAAGTATACTAGCTTTACAGGAGTTGGGATTGTTGAAGGTAGTAGAGACCCATAGGTTTTACATTGTTCAGGAATGACAAGCACGAAGGCGCAGAGAGATATTTGATAGAAATCGAGATCTTGGAGTATCTTTATATCTGCTCACTTCCAGTCACAGGGAATGAGAATAGTTTATTGGGGTGAGATATTTACAGTCAAGAGGCCAACAGGACACAATTCTACCATGTATTATTACATTCACGTGTCATGTTGTAACACTTCTCATTTACTGGCAAGAGAATGCCACAATACAGCACAGCAATCGCTTTGAGGAATACTGTACTTAGAAGTATATGCCTGTCATCGCCTGAAGACCGTTATAATCTACGGCGGAGCTTAGTCGTGCTAGTGGTACAAGTGTTAAGAGGATAACGGGAATGGTACAATCGCAACTGAATTAGTTCAGGATGCTGTTTCTGGCTGAGTCAACTTTTAGTTCCCATCATACCATCTCAGCAGGAAACCAAGGAGGAAGCCAGGCTGCTACTCACGAATCATAGAGACACTAACGGCTCTTCTGCATATCAATGACGAAAACACTCGACGCCCTCGATACACGACTGTTTTTTGCACAAGTTTCAAAACATGCCCCTAGTGTTTTTGAGTCATCCTTATAATAGACCTCTTGGTGTAACTAACCATGCATCTATCGTGGGTCACGAGTTTTCTGATGTCCTACCTTCGGTATCGCTTTGTTGCAGTGTTTTATATTTTCTCTTTTAACTCATATATCGAGATGATAGACTGATCGGTTTTTCCAGATCGCACCTCACAGCATGGATCCAACATCTTGCATAGCTGTTGGACCGATGCTGTGATGTGCAATCAAGAAAAATTGGATTCACTTCTTCTTTGGATGGCAAGTGTAGTACACTTTCATCAAATCTGGTCCTCAACTAGGATCCTGTAGTACCGTGATAGATGGTGGTCCTGTAAAGTCAACCTTAAGGTACTAACCAGGTTGAAAACTTTCTCCACACTGCCGGCAAGGGTATTTAAATTTTAATACACGTAAAAAGTGGAGGCTGTGGAGACCAGCTAACGGGGCTTGGTAGAGGTTAGGACAATTGTTCTCGTTGAAGACATCCATCATCAAGGGTGGTCACATCCAACGGTGAGGCATTATATTTCATGAATCTATGAAGTCCAAACTGATTAGAAGAGGTCTTAATTCTTATTTACTAAGCACTAGGATTACGGAATGTTTCATTCAGACATAAAACATTAGTCTATCCAAGACATATTCGTCTGAGTCGGTTTCGTTGTCCATACGTTTCAGTATATGTACGTGATATTTGATGCTAATGGTTCCTTGAAACGCAAATTGCTGGCAGTTTTCGACATAGACGCCTATGATACAAGGGCGGAAAGAATTTGCAGCACCAGTCTGTTTGGAACCTAACAGTGACATATGTGTAGCCAACCATACCAGGCAAATGATACTATTTTCTTTCGCACATTGACCTATACTTCTACTGACGATGTCAATCAATCAACAGTATAATCACAAACAACACAGATTGAAAATAGAAGACAAAACTCTAAAAGAGATAAAATAAATAAGCTTGCTAATGTAGTAATGGCCCTTTTTGCCAGTTCTGATAGTGATGATCAAGTGCGTTGTCCGGGAGTGGACCATGGATGTCTTCCCGCTGTTGTACATGCGTACCTGTTGACCATATCGTTACTAGACATATTCCTAGCCGTTTGATTTCATCCCTCTATGACTTATCGGGTCTTCCCATCCTTTTCACCACACTACTTGGTTTCCATCTGGGCTCGTACAACCTAAAGACTTTCTCTACATGAGTATTCATTCAAGCTTGAACAATAGTGGTATCGCCGTGTATGTGGAAAAACTTTAGAAGACTAGAATAAATCTCCACTTGGCTTCTGCAGACTTGCAGCTTTTCTGACCATGTCTGAGTCGACAGGATCCCGCTTTATAGTTTGTGTTGGGCAGATCATAGAACTTCTTGTGCTTTAAGTGTCGCTTTGCAGCAATGGGCCTTACTTTCTGGTGACAGCTTCTTCAACACTGTAATCAAGCGCTAACTCTGTTCAAGTAGATGTTACCAGGAAATTTTTAGTCCGCTCCAGCATATGATTCTCCTCCCAACAGCATCAACAAATGGATTGGACATTGTCCAGCACCGTTCGAAATTAAGCGTCTACGATCTCACTGGGCAAGATATCTGCCCTCTTTGTAAGGGAGCTGAATGTTGCAGTAACTATGAAGGCAGCTAGTCCCCCCACTTCTTGGACCAAGAGTTCCCGGCATAAATGTGCGCGGACATTAGAAAGCTCTCAGGTATAGCTATATTTGCAGCTTCGCCGTCACTGTACTCACTACTATGTGCCTGCCTTGTGCGTTTTCCACTATAACACTCATTGTAACCCATCTCCTCTCGCTGTCCGCAGCCAACCTCCAATCTGCTCTTATTTTCTCTAACAGATCAGAAGGAACAACTGAACTTTAGTGGTATTAGATATATTTTCCAAGTAACCCGACATACTCGATACTACCTTGCAACAACTATCGGGCATCGTCACAATCGCCCTAAACTACTGCTTCACAGTAAATCGTTATTCACAGACTACGCAGGCAGCAGCAGAAGTGGCCTAACAAGGACATTTGATACATCAACGAAACTTCATCAGACTTTGAAAGGATGAACCATAAAGTTCAATCTATATCAAATTTTTTTTCTGCGACATAGCCGAGGAATACAATACACGCAAGAGACACTGGAGAAATCCTCCTGGATACTGAATTTGCTATGAATTTCAGGACAAATGATCCTGGCAACTGCATTGAGCAATTTGTTCGCTCGAGTGAAATAGCTGCGGCTAGAGATATGCAGATTCAGTTGCACTAGAAGAATTCACCACGTTTGCCTCACATACCAATTTAACACTCTGACGACACTTGTCCATGATCTTGAAGAAAAGAATTCCATGTCCTCGATCACTCTCGGCCTTACTGGACGGCGCTGCAGGCAATGTCGTGGTAAAGAGTTCACAGATCCAAAGATTCAATCACCTTTGCCCTTTCCCTTTCCTTTTCGCTTCACCAGGGCTGCTTGTCGTTCCACCTCCTGCACACGCTGAGCTTCATCTGCCTCGTATTGCCGTTGGAGCGCGTTAGCATGTCGCCTTGAGAAAAAGAATAGGACTATTAAACCGATCGTTGCCTGGCCCGGAGTCAGTACCTTCGTTACCGCAAGGGCCCCAGGAATCAAACCAAGCAACAGCAGAATGATCTGCTGGTTTTTGTGCAATTTAAGCCTCCAGTCCATTTCGTCGGTAGTGGAAGGGCAACTACACAATTCCGAAGTGTGTAGATTCAGCTTCTCCAACGTTTGCTTCACAGCCCCCAACCTTTCTTACCCAAGATTTTGAAGAAGTACTGATTACAGCTCAAACTCCATGCTCGCTGTAAGCCGGGTTTGTCCGGGCGGCTCTGTTTCTGCATAGAAAAGAGATAAACTCAAAACATTATGTACTTCGACTCCTTGCTTCACCCTAGATTCCAGAGATACAGAACGTCTACACTGATAGAAAACTATCCTACACTTTGGAGGTCTTTGGGATCGTCTTCATGAACACTATCGTTTCGTCAACGAACTGCTTATAATCATAATCCTTTGTCTGTCATTCAGTGTGAAATCTCTGATGAGACACAACTTCCTGACAATCCTGTCACTAGAAAGTTACGAACTCTGCAAACAACTGGAAAGACCATCGTTCTTCTAACACGCGAGATTCGCTAAGGGCGGCGAACGTATTTACACACGTACAGTGGAAGATAGACACCTCATAATGATGCTCAAGCAGCTCCGAACGAGTCCAAGCGCCATGAGACGCTACGAAAAGTTCTGAATTATCAACCCTAATTTTAGTCGTTCATCCTTTCAACTTCTCTGCTTCTCCCTCTTTCACGCAGTCGAAAAAAGCTGGAAGCAATCGAGCAAGATCCTGAACAAGCTCCAAAGTTTTTCATTTTGACATAGTCGATGTGGTTAGTAATCAGGAAGTTTGGAGTAAATAGACCAAAAAAAATATAGACTACATACCTAACCTATACTAATTCTTTACATACTACGAGAACATACCAATAAAAATTACGCTAGCGAGTGTTATTTAAGTTTGGCCAATTGAACACATTCCAAGAAACATTACACAATATGTCAAAAACAATGATACCGATGTCACATAGGCATAATAGACTCTCTCAGAAAGTTGTAGAAGTTGACGTATACATACATAACTTCACAACATTATATGGGCATGTCCACGTAGCCATTTAATGGAATAAAAACATAAGATGATAACTCATCTATCTTTGCATTGAATGATAAGTCTATCTATTGATTCCAAATCAATTTGTGTAAGTTTTGTACACAATCTTTTGTAGGTCTAGATGTAAATTTTAAATAACATTCAATTCAGCACAATCCTTATCAGAAATAAGCGATTCATCTAAGTGAAGCTAATTCTATAAAATGCAAAAAATTCTTTACTTCAAGTCTTGATTTGTGTTGTAGAGACTTTATACTTTCCTTCTTATATAGCTTTAGCTAACTAGTCTAACTATACATATTTGAAGTAATTAAGTTGATAAATATTTGAATTAACAATTAAAATTTTTTTCTTGATATATGTCTTGGAATCTATTTCTTTTATTACATATATAATTAACTTGCAAAATTTCTTACAAGTAACACTAATAAAGATAATTGCGTGAACTGTTTTTTTACTAAAATCAAATCTTATCAAAATAATTGAAGAGTAAAATCATATGCACAAAGATAATATAACTTCTGTTTCATTTTGTTTTTATTTATATTAGAAATTTTCAATGCGTCATTATGATTTGAAAAAATCTTTAAGGTTATCTTTCTACCAAAGACATCAACAGGGTTAACTATAATGTCAATCTTATCTCTGGGTTGATCATTTTATCAAACGGAATATGTATCAAAAAAATATTTATTTTATTATGATTTATTAGGATGTATTTTTTGTGATTCATAGTTTGATTTGAAATATTTTTTAAATAATACATTAAGTATAACTATGTCACAAGTTTGTTTGAAATGCAAATTTTTTTTAAAAAATTGTTTCAACAAGTTTGTTTTAATAATTAAACTTCATTGTTGTTTTTTTGCCATAACATATTTAATTTTTCAATGGATTTAGCTATTAGAGCAGTCTAAATTTTTTTCCAGAAATTTTTTTTAAAACATCATTTCAACAAGGGAAAAAAAATTTGCTGCAAAGATCCATATAAAAAAATTTGACGCAACTAGATACTTAACTAGGACCTAAAAATGTAATAGTTGTATGGCATGAGCATTCAAAAAGTGTTGATGAATCAAACTTTGATAGTTCTGTAAACATAACAGATTTTGCAAAAATCACTTTATAACTACAATGAAAAACACAATGGCAACTCAAAATAATTTTTTTGCGCCAATTTAGAGTGTTGGAGAGAAAAAAATTTAAAAGCTTAATGTACTAATTTTTTATTTCAATGAATTTTGATAATTGAAGATTTCAAAAAATTACAAGATATAAGCTTTGCAAAAAAACAAAAATCTAATTAGATGAAAGAAATATTTTGAATCATGGAAACACAATCAAATATTTTGATTCATGGCAATCTTGTGAACATAAACACTTGATGAAGGTTATTGTACAAAAATAAATACAAGCTAGAGAAAATGACAATGCAAGTTTGTTCAAATTAGATCGGTTAAAAAGTTTGATTAACAAATAAATAATTCATTCAGCTTATACAAAATAAATTTGATTCAAGATTTTTTTAACGTCAAATAATATAAATTTTGAACATGCTTCAAATCATGAAGAACTTAGTCAACCACATACAAATTGTGTCTTGTCAAGATGTTTATGTTGAAGATTGTGGTGACAAATCAAGGAAATTTTTTTTTTCAACATGAGCAAGAGTTGATATACGAATACAAGTGTAAAAGAAGGAAGAATTCTACATTTTTGCAATTCCTAATAATCCACATGCATACCTATATTTACTGATTGTCATTTGCAAAATTATATTGTGATTAGTTGAGATGTGATATCACTATGATCATTGGTAAATAGTTTATGCATTATTTGAAAAAACATATGTAATCAAATTTACACTACAACTCAGCAGAAAATACTAACATAATGATATCAAAAAATCTTGAAGAGATCATTTGAACTCTAAAACATGAATTTTGAATGGCAAAAAATGAAGCAAAATCAAGTTGAAAGAAATAGATTTCACTCCAAAGTATGCAATTGAAGTAGATCAAAGAAAAGTATAAGATATTAGCTTGCATCTCCTCATGGATTAAAATTTATAAGCCATTTATAATTTTTGATCTAGCTGGAAATGTTCAAAAAACAAAGAAAAGAAGTTTTTTTAATCTAAAACTTCATTGAATTCTTAAATTCACTATTTTATATAAATTTTTAAAATAGAAGAGATTGCATTAGTTTAATTTCAAATTTAAAACATTTGCAAGAGAGCTATGTGATGTTGCTTTGATATGCACAAATAAATAAATGATAAAATTATTAGCTTAAAAAAATTTCTAATTTCAAAACAAAATCAAGTTGAAAGAAATAGATTTCACTAAAAAGTATGCAATTGAAGTAGATCAAAAAAAAGTCAAAGATATTAGCTTGCATCTCCTCAAATTGCTACATAGATTTATATGTTATAAGCCATGAATAATATTTGATCTATCTGAAAATGTTCAAAAAACAAAGAAAAGAAGTTTTTTTTAATTTAAAACTTCAATGAGTTCTTGAATTTACTATTTTATATAAATTTTCAAAATAGAAAAGATTGCATTATTTTGATTTCAAAACAAAACATTTGCAAAAAAGCTATGTGATGTTGCTTTGATATGCACAATATGAACAAATGATTAAATTATTAGTTAAAAAAATTTCTAATTTGTTTTTAAACATGATACAAGAGGAGCATAAAATTGCTTCAAAACGAACATTATTGAAAGCTCAAGTTGAGTTGAAAAAAACCTTGGAGACACAAAGTATGAAAAATTTTAAAAGTTAGTTATGAATAAGTATAATTCCCAAAAAAAGTTTACAAACATGTAATATTAACTTGGATAATAAAGATCAAATGTACAATTTTGTTCATAATTGTATCAAAAAGCTGATTCAGCTACAATATTTTTAGATTGAGCTGCAGCAAATAAATAGTTTTAAACAACTGATGTGAACTTTGAACAAAGTTGCAAGATCTATAAAGAAAATTTACAGATCATTGTCAAAATTATGTCAATGCTTATAGAAAATATTAATTTTTGTAAAAAGTGCAAATGATAGGATTGCCAAAAAATCACCGAGAATTCACAAAAAGCACACAAGCTAAAATAGACAAGACGAGAAGTAAGTACAAAGTTCATCATGTCTGGACTACATCCACGGTCAAAGAAAAACACATAGATATATTAAGCGCATGCGGGGGTTACAAAAGATCTACTAGAAGTTTAAGTAGTACAATGTGAACCTACAAGAAGCACATAATGTAACCATCTTTAGATATTTAGAACTAAAATAGCGGTTACTCAAAATGTTTATATAGTTACTTTAGCATGTCGAAAAAAATACGACCATATCCTCAAAACTCTAGTCCAGCCGGGGATAAGATAACCATGCCAGTGGTTTAAAGCTTACTTTGCTGGTCCTTCTTCTAGAAATGGCTGAGAAATAAGGGTGGTCCGGATACTTCTTTGGTTTTACAAGGCTTTACGAACTTGTTGTATGAATTCGCACGAGGGACGCAGTGATGAACAATCCCGGGGACCAAGCCCTAAAGTATTGCGTAGCCTGACTTTAGCCAAAGGACTAATCATAACTGTTACGTCAGCGATCCGCGTGCTTGATAGATAGAGAGTAAGTGTGTTAGTTGACAATGCCACGTCAACGATCTGTATGCTTGTTGGGGTTATTTCAGGCATACTAAAATTTGGTGTTTAATTTTAAATGCCAAATTTGCTAGAATTAATCCGGCCAATATGCGAGAATTAATCAGGCATCTTTAGTTGACACCTGTATGAAGTTTAGCGCAAGAATACAAGAATAAGGCAGAAGTTGAAGGCGGGAAGAATGTAGAAAATCTTGCAAGCATGCAAGGGAAGGCAGGGAGAGTATAGCGGGAAGAAGTACCTTAGGTTAGGAATGCATTCTTGCGATGTTTTCTTGTTTCGAACGCAAGCACCCAAGTCAGAGCGTAGCTTTTACAATCCATCATGAGTTGAAAAACTCCGTTTCAGGTCAAACATGGTGTCGAGTTTGGTCTTCAATCGGTTCAGCGATCTGTATAGGGCACCATCACAACAGTTCAGTGTCTATTTTGAATCCATATTGGTTGTGAAAAACGCGATGGCGCAGGTGTGAAGTGACAACAAAGGACGGACACGCCACTGTTTCAATTTCTGTTTCGTCTTGAAGCCTACAAAAATCACTTGAAGTCTTAGCATCCTGAGGTTTGGACCAGTTATCAACCGCTTTCGCATCAAGAGAAGGTTAGTTTCTTCAAGATAAAAGATATATCATGCACACACCGTTACCTAGACACAGACAATGACACTCTTCAATTTGTTATTTCTCAGTCTCCGATCGATGATGTTGTGGTGAGAGATTTGTTTTTTCATCCGAAAGAAAACGAAGAAGACGATGCGTCCCAATCAATCACCAAGGCCAACGCCATGAAGTTGTTCAAACTACAGCCAAACGGATCATATTTG